AAATAGAGAGTGTATAAAGGTGAATGATGTGTGAAGTAACAGTGGAAAGGTAGTTAATGAGCCAAATTATAGATGGTCTTTAAACACCAGGCTGAAGATTTTGTGTTTTCTAGAGCAGGCTCACACAACCTGCGGCCCACAGGCCGCTTATGGCCCTCTCCAGCCACTTGTAGCACACCAACGATTTTGGGGGGCCTGCGAAAAATGTAGAGGAAAACATCCTTTGTATGTAAAGGAAATTCTTCGGCAGGATGCAGGTTGTGCAGACCTGTTCTAGAGGCATTTTTTAAAATATGTATTTTCTATATATTTTATATGTATTTTCTATATATTTTATATGTATTTGTTGTCTCCCCCACCTAGACTTTAAATTCCTTGAGGTCAGGGACTATTTTTGCTTTTACTTCTGTATCCCCAACATCTAGTACAGTCTCTGACACATGGTGGGCACTTAATAAATATCGTTTGTTGATTGATTGAAATAGCCTTCATGTTAGCAGGAACCATCATCACCTGGCCTGAACAAGCACCTGAAGGCATACCCTTGCATTTCCCTGTAATTACCCAGAATGAATGGTATTCACAGGTCTTGAAAACACTTGTGCTTTAGTGATACCAAATTCAAAAACAGTTTTGAAACAAAGCATGAACCATTAAGGTGAATTAGAGGAAATTCTCCCCTCAAAATCCATGTAAGTAAATGAAACCTCACTTCTGTGTCTAGTTGGCTTGAACCTAAGCTACATCTCCTTTATACTTCTCATGAGAACACGAGGGCCTGGCTAGCACTGTCCTCCTGCCAACTGCTCAGCCCCTGCATGCATGCCTCTCCTTTTTCGAATAACAACTCAATTAACATTGCCTTGCTACAGGGAAGGACAGATCAATCCTGGTCTGTTCTATGACTCTGCTCAGAATTCCTGTGATGCAGAGTAGTAAACTGTCTAGGCAGAAATTCTGTTCTTTTGCTACCACTCCCCATTCTCTGCTTCATCCATATCCGTAGGTCTCTATCCAACTCTGCCTATCCCTTTTCATTGTGCCCTAATGAACTTTTTTTTTTAAACAAATTGCCCTTCATTTTAAAAGGAATCGTTTCTTTTCCCATTCCGTTTCGTTCATTGTAACCTGGCTCTCTCCTAATTGGCATTGCATCCCTGGCCACTCCCTCTAGTACTGGATGTACGTTCTCTTATGGTCCTCTAACATACTGAGTTAGTGATGGGGGTAGGGTGGGGCAGGGAATAGGGATAATACTCATTACTCCTCACTTCAACTACCAAGACCATCCCCTAAAGTTTTCACTCATCAGACTCTCCTTTGAGGTTCATCTACCCCAATTCATCACCCTTTCCACATCCTGGTGACGAGTATCTACCAGCTCCCAAATCATTCTCCCTTGTTTCCCAAGGAGGGGATTCTCAGAGAGCCATCACTACTCTGACTTTATTTTTCTCTCTTTAAAATCTCTTACTAAATCTTTAGTTAACCAGTTCATTTTGACACTATGCTGCACTCCTGATAATTCCTCATCCCCTATGTCCTGCTGACACTTATGTTTTGCCAAGCCTCACCCCTAGGTTGCATTCTCCATCTGTCTTCTGTACTCCAGTTCATAGGTACTGAGTACAAATGGAAGAAGTTAAATGGCCGTAATAACTGGGTCCCTGAGAAATGTTTGTTATCCAATCTTGGCTACATTCTCACTGCCACATGCCCTTCCCTTTTACTCTGATTGGCTGTCTCACTTCCCACAGAAGCTATTCCAAACATTGACTTTTCTTCTCAAACTATCACTTCCTCTCAACTTCAGCCCATTACCTTTCCTCATACTTCACTAAAAAAAATTGAGGCCATCTTGGCTCACGCTTCTTTCTCAATTCCACACCTCAAATCACCTCAGGATCAACCCCTATTCTCTAGTCTTTATTACTGTAGTCTCAGGAAGAGATAGGCCTCTTTGCCAAGGCCAAACCTTGTGCTTGTGCCCTTGATCCCATCCGCTCCTGTCAAATTTCCTGGCCACTTGTCACTTTATCACTCATATATTACCCAACTCCAGCCCTGGAGTACTCCCACCATCTGTCTCTTTCCTCCCCTCCTACTTGGATAGTTGTTGTCTTTCGTGCTTAAAGAGGACCAAAATGACATTACTCTGTTGGGGTCAAGGTGCATTGTGTCCAACTGTGGTTGATCAGACCATTACGAACTCTGAAGGCTCCACTACAATTTGGGTACAAATAGTCCAATGAACATTTGGAGTGGAGATGTCTCTAAATTAAGTTCTTGCAATTCTGCTTTACTCATAGAGCACAGTGCCTTTAATGTAGGCATACCATGCTGGATGATCCTATGCCAGTGTCTCCCATATCTTACAATAAATTCCAAAGTTCTTTAGAGAGACCTTGAGAATGTTCTTGTATCGCTTCTGGCCGCTGTGTGAGCTCTTTCCTTGTTTGAGTTCTCTGTAGAAGAGTCTTTTAGGCAACATATGTTTGGTATTTGAACAATGTGACCAGACCATCAGAGTTGTACTCTCTGCAGTAGAGTTTAAATGCTTGGCAGTTCAGTCCAAGAAAGGATGTCAGTGCCCTGTACTTCATCTTGCCAGGTGATCTTCAGAACATTCCTAAGACATTCAAATGGAAACAATTTAGTTTCTTGGCATGGCACTAGTATACTATCTACATTTCACAGGCATGCAACAATGAGGTCAGCAGAATGTCTTCTACTAATGAATGGCACTGGAGAATTGTGCTAAGTTACTGATCCAGTTTATGTTTTCTGATTTTGACTGGGCCCCCACTTTAGTAAGGCAGTCTTATTATTCCTCCCTAATCTCTGTCACACTTCCCGCAGTAGCTGTTCCCAACCTTGTCTTCTCTGCTCAGATTTATCATGCCCCATACTTCCTCCCTCTACATTCACACAGCAGAGTACCTCACCTCATACTTTACTGAGAAAACAAAGGTCATTTGCCTTTAGCTCCCTCCTCTCTCCTATAGTAAATACATCTAAGAACTCCTTAATAATATCCTTCATTCTTTTCTCTTCTACTCATCTTTGATTAGGAGATGGACCTTCTTGCCAAGGTCAGCTCCTAGTCAGTCATAGATTTACAGTTAGGTCCCATCTAAATCCAACCCCTTATTTTACAGATAAGGAAACTGAGGCTGAAAAGGTTAAATGACTTGCCCAGGGTCACACAGCTAGCAATTGAGGCAGAATTTGAATCCATATTCTCCTGATGCCAATTATAGCTTTCTATCTAGTATACTGTACTACCTTTGATCTCATGTCCTCCATCTCTTCCAGTAGATTGACCCCAGAAACATCCCCTTATTTTCCCTAATCTTTGGTATACTTAGATACACTAGTTCCTTTTCTTCTTCCTGCAAACATGATCAAGTTTCCCCTAATCCTTGAAGAGCCCTGACTTGACATTACCATCACATCAAACTATTATATTGTATCCTTATTCCATTTCACAACTAGTTTGGGGTGGGGGAGAACTGTCTACATACTTATTGCTTCTACTTCTTCTCTTATTCACTCTTTAATCCCTTGATATCTGACTTCCAGCCTCATCACTCAGCTGAAACTGTGGAATGAAACCAATTTCTCCAAAGCTACCCTTGATAAATTGCCGAATCTTATAGTTTTTCTCTCATTCCTCATGCTTCTTGACCTCCCTACAGATCTGAAACTCTTAAGCACACCCTCTCTTGGTTTCCATGACATTGCTGTCTCTCAATTCTTCTTCTTACCTGTTGGCCCCCATTTTAGTCTCCTTGGTTGTATCATCATCCACATAATACCTCATAAATCCTTATTTCAAATCCTATTACTTTTTGCTCCTTTGCTTTATTTATAAACTATATCAACCAAACTCATCTTTCTGGTAAGGGAGAATGGCCTTTGGTGAGTTGAAGTACATGACTGTTGTCTTCATGATACACCCAGAAGTCTGGCAAGAGGCCTAGATGAGGTTGTGGTGCATCACAAAAGAGTCCTGGTGTTAGAGTCCTAGCTTGAATTCGTGGCTATTTATAAGTCATACTATCTCTGGGTATTAGTTTTCTTATCTATAAAACAGAAAGCTTAACTGAATGCCTTCATGTTCCCTTTGGGCTCTAAATCTATGAAGTTTTCATATATAACTATATTTTAGTATTCTAGAAAGAAGACTTTTTTACATTGGATTTTACTAATTTCTTCATCAATCTTCTGCTAAAGTTTTACTCCAGGACCTTATGGTAGCCTAGAAGTGAGTTTTGGAAAGCTGTACTAGCAGAGTACAAGTTCTGGCAAGGTTGTACCATGATTTCTTTGCTTTGATCTATATCAGATATGGGAATACCTAGTGAAATCATAGAGTCTTTAAAAAATTTACCATCAGTAACATTCATATCCTTGGAATTATATTCCAGTTCTGCCAAACATAAAGTTGACAGAGATGGCTATGGCTAGCTTAAGGAAATTTTATCTAATGCATTAAAATAAGTCCTTATAAAATTTCTGTGTTTATAATAATTATGTTCAGCTTAATTATGTTTTTTATTCCTGGTAGTTGGCATAATATTATTTAGTTAAAGGCAAGTGAGTAAGGATTTGAGAGATTGTGTACCCCAAGAGTAAATCAGCCACCTTTTGAAAGAAGGAATAGTTATGTGTTCTTGTGTTTTTTGATGTCTAATTCCAATTTTATGTTATCTTTTTTACCATTTAGTTTTAGGATTCTGGGTTGCTATTTCCATAGTTCAGTTTTATTTTTATCCCACACCCCCCACCCCAATTTGTATGATGATAAGAAAAAAAATAACTGAAAATGATTAGTAAATATTGATCGAACAGCCAAGAACTATTATTATTTATTGTCTGCATTTATTTTTTGTTAATTTTTTTGGTTTTCAGTGTTTTCAGGTCGGCCATGAAGTTTAATGAACGTTAATAGAAAAGTTGGCTATTGCTTTATCTTTGCTTATTTTCTTCCAACCTAGGTAATAACCTTGATGCCATCCATGACATCACTGTGGCATACCCTCATAACATTCCTCAGACAGAGAAACACCTCTTAAATGGAAACTTCCCCAAGGAGATCCACTTTCACATCAGTAGATATCCATTGGAAACCCTTCCAGACTCCAAGGAGGAACTTCAGGTCTGGTGCCACAAACGATGGCAAGAGAAAGAAGAGCGGCTCCGGCTGTTCTATGAGGGGTCGAAGAGTTTTGAGTTCACAGGGAAGAGTGTGATTCCACCTTGCAAATCAGAGTTCAGGGTACTGCTGATCAAATGGATGTCTATCCTCTACTGGACCTTGTTCACCTCTGCTATGTTTATTCTCATATGCTTATACAGCATTGTGCGGTGGTATTTTTTTATCACAATTGTCTTTTTTGTGCTACAAGAGAAAATATTTGGTGGACTCGAAGTCATTGAGCTTGCATGTTACCGGTTCTTATGGAAACGACCAAGTGTAGATGACAAGAAAAAATGACTGAGAATGTAGGATTCACAGGCCAGAAACTTGAGGGATTTTTTAAAAAAATGTTCTACATATAGCCTTTGTAAACTGAGATTTTTTTGCATGAAAATTTCAAATCTTTCTTACTACCATCATTCTTTGTTAAAGACATTTTGCACTTGATTTTGTGAAAAGGAAAAAAAAACCAGATGTTGCTCTATATAAAAATTGTTTTTAATCTCAGAATGTAATTTTAATATTGTTTTATCAAGGAGATGCAGTGGTGAAATAATTCTTGCTGGATTATTAAACAATCATTAGGCTGTTAATAGGCAAGGTACTTAATGGATTTTTAAACTCCATTTCTGTCATCCAGCCAAACTGTGTAGCCAAAGGAGATAGATCTGTGACTTGTAACCCCTAGCACAAATCAAATCTCTTCACTGAAGAGTGAAGGCAGGTTACCTCACTTATTCATGTGAGTTGTCTTTTTCTTACCTTTTCCTCTACATTGCTTTGACCATCCTTTCCCCAAAAGCCATGCTTATTCCAGATTTCTCTGGGCGCCTTGCTGAAACTTCCTGCCCCCCTTAGATTAGTCAAAAGATTTGACAACTACTCAACACAAAGAATGTGGTAATTTATAAGAGGCTAATATTTTTGGTGACCTACAGTGTGAAAAACCATGTGTGCCCTTTTGCCCATGGAGGGAACCGGGTCTGCGAGAAAACAGAGTCTTTACCAACTTCTAAACCTCAATTTGAATTTTGTAATTAGAAATTTTGCTTCATTTTGTTGTTATTAGTATATGATCAGTGCCAGTTTTCCTTCAGTATATTGGTAATTGGTACCTTTTTGCCCCTAAGAGTGGCCTGTATGAAAAAAAAACCATGTACTGTTACCTTTTTCTTCCCTCCCCTCAAAAAAAATAAAAGCAGAGTACAATCTGAAAGTAACAAACTATGGATTCAAGTGTTTCTGAAAGCCTACAGAAAAGGGAAGGCTGTGTTCCTCTCTTTGAGTAAAAATTTTAGTTTAGCTCTTAAAAAAAAAGCCTCAACAAAGGCAGTTATTAATAATAGCCAAAATTACATGACAAAAGAATTTCCCATCATATCCCTGACAATTCAAACTACGTTTTTGACTAGTGCCACGGAACTCATTAGCAACACTGTTCCATATCTTGGTTTCTTTTTGTCTCAGGCCACCTCTTTCAATAGCAGCATTTAGCCTTGCCCTTGACCAGTTTATTCAGCTAAATAAATGTTGCCACTAGTGGAAAGTCCAAGGAACCAGCAACATAAACTTTCAGTCTCTTTATGAGGCAAGAAAAACTCTGTAGCTTCTTCCTCTTAGCATCTGGCTCATCTTCCATAATATCGAGATGGTGGACACAGGAATGAAAATATGAAGCAATTAAAGTCATTGGCTGTTAGCAAATCCTATGGCTTTGTTGCATCCTTTAGCAGCTCCCACAGTCATTCACTGCATTGTGTATTTTGTTCACTGGAGTTTGTCCTAGTCCTACAGAAAAGGGAAGGCTATGTTTCCTCTCTAAACATAAAAATCTGAGTTTAGCCCTTTCAAAAAAAAAAGTCTTAAAAGTAGTTATGGGTAATAGCCAAAATTAGAAACAAAAGAATTTCCCATCAAATCCCTGACAGTTCAGACTACACTTAGTTAAAACTTTTTGTGCTGGACAGTGGCTTCTACTCCAAGTTTTAACTTTGTTCTGAAATTAAAGGGGGTAAGCACATAGTAAGTATAGCTTCCTGAGCAAATTCTTGCAGAAGTACCCGTCCAACTAGAAAGAACATTGATGGAAAATCATTTTTGTTAGAAAGCAGCAACAGAAAAATCCACTCAACTATATCAGCTGTGCCTCTTGTAGAAAAACTGGTCTATATTGAACTATCTCCCCCCCATGACAGCTGCTTTTAATTCCCTGCACATAGCTACTAATTAGTTATTACATGAATGTGCTGAAAGCCATCTGCTTAACTTCATGGGTTTTTTTCCTTTGTTTTGTTTTTAGTTTATTTTCGGGTTGGAGGGAAGTTAACCTTTTTCCATTATAAAAGTGGTTTCTAATTTAGGGTTGTCTCAGACTTCCTTTGGCTATGTTTAGAAACTCAGAGTTTGACAAGTGGGATTGCTCTGTTGTAGGTGCAAAGGAAAAGGCTATACTTTCTGTCCTGAAGGTGTTTATAACATAGTCTTTGTAAGCTAAAATCATAGCTACTGTCCAAAGATATGTAGCTCTCTGTCTGAAGAACATTTTCCATCTAATCTGATGCACTTTCAATTCTGAACCTTGCAAAGAAAAACAATTTTTTCCCACGGAAGATATTTTTAAGATAAACTATAAGTCTTTAAAAAAAAAAACTAACAAAAGCTAGAGTTCAGAATCAGAAGTTACTGACATCCACACCAGGGAGAAATCATTTTTACAAGGCATTGGGGCGGGGTTGGTGGAGAGAAAATGAAATAAACAGTTTTTGCCTGGAGAAAACAGCATTCCAGTTCCCCTTTTGAACTAGAGAAAAGAATTTTTTTCTCTACATTTTTCATCTTTTAAAAAAGTTTTCATTTTAAATCTATTTTTTGAAAATGTTAAAGTAATTAATACTTGTTTGTAATATCCATTGCTTTTGGAGTGACTCAGAAAAATTAATGTGAAAATGACAAAGATGCATCCTTATGCATACATATCTCTTGAGTCTTTCCATCTTCCACAGTCCCCCACCTTGGTGCTCTAGAAACAGAGCAGCTTCTCTCCGGGCTGCATTACAGTTCAGAGGTCATATTCTCTTAATCTGTAAAAGGTACAGTTGACAGCCTCAGAGATTATTATAATTTAGTTGTCCAAATGTTCAACTTTAAAATTGCCATTCTGTGAAAATTTAAATAAATAAAAGTCAGCGTGTTTTATCCAGGGCATTCATGGACCATGATTTCCTCCAAGACCCTCAAGAAAAGTTACTAATTAAGTAAGACTTCTTTTTCCAGACCTGAGTGGATTATCAGCAAAAACAGAAGACAGAATACCTCGTTAATTTGAATATTCATTAAAAGTACATGGTAAAGGATGAGCGTTTGTGAATTGTAAGGGGGAGAGGGATGTATAAGAAAGACCTCCTTTTAAAGGCTTCATATCAAATTTCATATGTTACTTTGTTAGTAAAATTTAGAATGCAAAAATAGTACTCCACCTAGAATGCCTTACAGTTAGGTCAATTAGAAATTGGAGTCGTTCTAAAATAATGGATCAGAAGTCTTAGTGTGAAGGGGGTGTCCTGTGAGCTGATTGTTCATCAAAAGTATATTGGAGATATGACCTCCTGCTGTCTTTGCACAGTCTCTAAGCTCTGGTCCCAACAGCCATGCCCTTGTGCACTTTACAGCAAGTTCCACTGGGGGAACTTGTTGGTGGATTGTTTACATTTCTTTGTATAAATGACATGCTTTTAGTGCCTTGGTTAAAGATCTGGTTTAGTTTCAGATATTTCTGTACTGCGTCCCTTAGACAGAGGTTTCTTTTTATTAACTCATGGAAAAAACAACAACAACAGCAAAGCTGTTGAGGCTTGTGGTCTCTAAACACTTGTAACTGTTGTTGGTAAACATCACTTTGTGACAACGTTTGGGTGACAGCTTAAATCCACAGCATTCATTAACTTGTATCTGGGATCAGTGATGCAGGCTGCATAAGCAAATTTGCCAATGACTGTGTGGCCTTTACTTTAAATTTTGTTTTCAGAAAGAATTCTTGTTTTGGACTGCTTGATCTTGTGAGAGGATTGTATGAAAAATATCCAGATAAGAATACTCACAGAATGGCCTTAGTTTTCATCATCCATGAAATATGTTAAGATGTTTGTGAGTCATATATCAGTCATGTTTCATACATCCCAAAATAAAATAGAATACTTCAACAGTGTTTGTGTGTGTCTGTGTTTCTGGTTTGTCCAGAGCGAAGTGAATTACAATCCAAAAGAGATAATTTTTGATCGTTCTTCTTTGTTTTCCATCATCTAGCCTGAATTACCTCTTTTTAAGAAAACAATCATTACTGTTAAGCCTCTCAAGTTTCTCATTACAGTTACTGAGCAGGTTTTATTTTTTAAATTTTCTCGTGACATCTTTATTCTTTTTAGCAGCATAACTACATAAAATTCATCCTACTCTCAAGCATTTATCTTTGTTTACACCTTGTCAAAAATAATTTAATTTTTAATCAACTTATAAACATTCTATGATATTTCATGAAATTGCTCCCATTAAGGATAATAACTAATATTTAAATAAGCTTTTTAAAGTTTGCAAGGCACGCTACAAATATTAATTCATTTGAGCTTCACAGGCACCCTGTACTACAGAGATTTTGTCCCACTCAGTTTTACTTTGATATATGCCAACTAGTTTTTAAAGGTGTATATATTATCTAAGGGATTGATTTGGGTTCAAATCCTGGCTCTCTCACCCATTCCCTATTTTATCATATATATATATATTAGTCATTTTTATTTTCCTCAGTTGCTACATCTGGAAAACTAGAATATTGTTCAGTTGTGTCCGACTCTTTGTGGCCCTATTTGGGGTTTTCTTGGCAAAGATACTGGAGTGGTTTGCCATTTCCTTCTGCAGCTCATTTTACACACAAGGAAACTGAGGCAAACAGGGTTAAGTGATTTGCCCAGGGTCATACAGCTACTAAATGTCTGAGGACAGTTTTGAATTCAAGAAGCTGAGTCTTCCTGACTCCAGGCCTGGTGCCTGTCCATTTCCCCACTTATCTGCCTCTATGAGAATATTAGTGCCTGCCTTAACTCACCTAATAGCACTAGTCTGGAGGATAGGCATTGTCACTGAGGGAAAGAAGAGCATACTGAGGAAGATTTTGATGCAAATGGAGGTGAATGGGTGGAGGAGGAGGAGAGGAATAAATAACACATAAATGGTGTGAAGCTGTGCAAGAGCTGGAGGACAGTGGAAGAAACAAGTATAGCTGCTAAGAAGGAAAAGAGGAATGTTCACTTACCTGGCGGGAAAAGAAAAAAGAAATAGATTTTTTAAAGGGAGAAGCTATAAGAGTTGGGGGTGGGTGGGGAAGAAAAAGCCAGATAATTGTCAGCCCTCTTTCTCTTTCCCCATGCAAGGGAATTAAGTTCAGACACCAAGATGACAAAAAGAAATCCATGCTACAATAGAAGTGGACACAGTCCTGGTGTAATCATAGTAAAGCATATCATCAGTGTCTTACCCAAGGGATATGCATAAACTGTGCAGAGACGGAGAGATAAGGAATTGTAGCTCGGAGGAAACATTCAAATAATGTGAGCACATCTATAGGATTCCATGCTGGGATTAGGAATCACAGCTGTGTCTTGTATATTATGTCCTGTTATCAAAGTTTTGATTTTGATTTGATTTTTTTTAACCAGAAAAGCAGATTGCTTACCCCAACAAAATGTCAGAATGGCATAGGAACCCAGAAAAATTACTGATTTACACATAGGAATGCTTTCAGAGAGAGCAGCTGGTTGGCACAGTGGCACAGATTGCCAGGCCTGGAGTCAGGAAATTAATCAGTTTAAATCTGACCTCAGACACTTAACTAGCCGGGTGACCCTGAGCAAGTCACTTAAGCTTGTTTGCCTCAGTTTCCTCATGTGTAAACTGAGCTGGAGAAGGACATGGCAAACCACTCCAGTATTTTTGCCAAGAAAAACCCAAATGGGGTTATCAAAAGTCGGACAGGACTGAACAGCAACTTTGAAGGACTTTATTGAACTCTAAAACCTAGATACTGCTCTAGGAGCTGGCATTCAGAATAGTTCATCTCCATTTTCCACAGTATGCTAGATGCAATACCCTAAATGGTCTTCAGTCCCTCAGTCAAACCTCCATCCATCATATATGCTTCTCTTTCTTAAAGCTCTGATCTGGTTATCGGATGAGAGAATGTTAGAGGTGGAAGAAACCTTAAAGGTCATCTAGTCAAAACCCCTTCACTTTACAGATAGGGAAACTGAGGCTGAGACCGGAAAAGTGATTTGCCCAAGATTGAACACATAGGCTCTCTAACTCCAATCTACATGCTGGGATTGGTGGGGCGGGGGGGAGGCTCATCTAAAGAGAGGGTTAATTGTGGGACGTCTCGTTAGCTGCTTTCTCTGACATTACATCAACTTGAGTATTATTGTGGTGTTTCTGTTATTTATAAAATATCCATGAAACAAGATAAGAATCCAAATTGAATTAGTCACAGTTTTTTAGAGCATCTGATTTCATTTTCCCATGTGGTAATTAAGGCCTAGTGAGGTCAAGCACTTTCCTTAAGGCCACAGAGCAGGTTAGCTGCGAAGTGGCAATCGTATTAGACTGCACATGTCTTCCTCTTAGCACTACAGGACAGTGCTCAGCATTTGTTTGTTTAGTGGTGGTGGTGGTTGTTGTTGTTGTTGTTTTGGGCACCGTTTCATTTCTTCACTGGTATAGAGCAGTAGGCTTTCAGTCAGGAAGATCTGAGTTCAAATCCTGCCTCAAACACTTAGAAGCTGTGTGATCATAGAGAAATCACTTAATATCTACCAGCCTCATCTGTAAAATGAGTAAGTTGGACTCAGTAGCCTCTGAGGTCCCTTCAGCTCTAAATCTAAGACCCTAATTCTAAGGCATTTTGAGAGATAGCATCCCCTCCTTAAACACATTCAGAACTCCCCATTACCTACAACGTACAGCCCAACCAAACTCCTTAGCATGGCAGTCATGACGTCCCATAAGCTGGCCACAATTTGCCTGTTTTTTTTTCCTTTCAGTTTTTACCTTCAACTCTTCCCCCCATACAAAATAAACATGCTTTCACATGGGCAGTTGAACTCCCATAGAATGTCCTCTCTCCTCAATGGTCAGTCAGCAATCATGCATTAAAGCACTATGTACCTAGAACTGTCTTAATTCTGAGAATACAAAGACAAAAATGAAATATTGTCTTCCCCCAAAAGGCTTACATTTTATCAGCAGTGACTACGCACAAACATAGAAATGTCTACAAAATAAATGCAAGATAATGGGAAGTGGAGGGAGGCCTTGAACAATAATGTACAAATTTACTGGGACAAAGTCAAAAAAATGATTGATATACATCATTACAACTCTTTTCATCTCCAAAACAACATGAAATACGTTCTTTTGTTTTAATCATTTGTCTTAAAGGATGTTTAGAGTTCCCAACATCCTGACATATTTTAAAATTTATGATGAAGCCACACTTTTTATCACATTTGACTATTAAGTATATCTCTCGTGGACAGTCTATTTTCTCCATTCTAGCCTTGATTTATAACCCGCAGGACTTAAATGAGGTTTAAATCAGGTTGACTTCCAGTCTGCTGAAGATTGTTCATATCTGTTTCTTGGATAAATTTCTTAAGCTTCCTTGATGCGTGGTAGACACAGCACGAGGTCATATTCAATTTCTAATTGAGAATTTTTGCAATTCAAGAATAATTCTGCCTCAGTTTATCAATATGTTTATCAGAGTTCATCATTCTTTCAATAAGGACAAGAATTTCAAACCCACTGGAAGTAAAGAAGTCCTCAAAATATTTTAGTGTGGCTATTTTTAATGAAGATGTTCAACTCTTACAGACCTAGCTGCACTTTTGACAACAGGCTTGGTATAATGTTGAATGAAAAAAGGTAAGTAAAAACGTTGGTAAATTTTTCTTTTTCCTGTCTTCAGCATTTTAAACTTTATTTGGATTGCTCATAACAATTCACCATCTGCTGAGTTCCAGGGATATCTAAGAAATCTATAAATACTGTGAAGCAAATTATTTTTATAATAATCAACGTATGTGTAATGAATGTACTAATAGATTTGATTTTTCAGAATTACCTATTCTAGCTTGTAAGATTCACAATGCAGCCTGAACTGATCAATCAGACTTTGACAGTGTTAACAATCACTGGCATTACTAACTGTGTACCCTAAGTGAAGCAAATCAGACACTGGAGAACCTATTCCCATCGCAGAACTCTGTTCCTGTGACCCACAAAGTAATGACCCCCAGAGGCTTGAACAATGCAGGACACCTGTATCTCAGCATTGCGGAATTTGTGGGCTGGTCCTGGGAAACCACTTTGGCCCTGGCAAACCACGGTTTCCACCTTTCACCCTCCCTTCCCACTTGTGATTTGATGTATATAATCTCTGTCTTCACTTCAGCAAGGTGGAATTCTGATCGGGAGAATTCCCGATTTCCAATCTATTCCACACAATATAACTAATTAGTTAAAGGGCTACCTGATTACTGACACTTTGTTTCTGGCCTGCTGTTTCCTTGTTCTCAGGTTAGAGACTAGCTCAGTAAAATCTGGTTAACCATACTATGTGATGACATTAGATACTCTCCACCTTTGTAAGTTATCTTCGGCATTCTGCTAATTGGGTCTTCAAACCAAGACTCCTCCATCAGCTTAGATCTGTTTTGTTTATTCTATACCTGGAAACACACATACACATTTATCGAAACAATGGTTCTTGGTTCTACCTCTGCAGCCCAAACATTTCTGTTTGGCCCAGAAAGGAAAACCTGAGACGATGTTCTAAAACAGGGGTGAGGCCTAGAGGGCCACATGTGACCTTGAGGCCGCAGGATCCCTACCCTGGAAAAGTTACTAAGAAGCAAAGTTAGGTTTGACTTTAAGAAAAACTCCTCACTGAATAGAGCTGCCCAAAGTGGAATGGGTTACCTCCACAAGTGGAGGGTTGCCCTTCCTTGAAGTCTTCTGTCAAAGGCTCTTTGGCCATATAGTTTACATAGTATATAGTTTATAGTCTTTTCATATATGGGCTGTACTAGATAGCCACTGAATTCCCTTCCGTGTTCCAAATTCTGTGATTCTATAACCTCTGTTCCAAGTGATAGCTGT